TCCCAGTACAGCTGCTGTCTCTTTGGAGCTAGCGCCCTTTGAGAAAATATTAGGTTGTTCGAAAAGTCCTGCGACACTTTGTTTGAACTATTTGATGTTTTTATCTCTGATTAGTGGAGACTGTCTCCTGGGGTTTCTGAAAATGGGTATATCATGGCTCCGTGGAAGTTTTCAAAGCTTAAAAATACCTCAGAGATCGAGGTACTTCTCGACCTATCCCATATTATGAGTTCCTGTAGGGCAACTCCGCCATAGTCGAGGAAGCTAACACTTACGTTGTCTTGAGGAAGGATATCGCTTGCCATAGCAGAGAGTTCCTTTTGCATCAGCGCTTCCAGGCTGGACTTATTCAACTCGGAAGTAGGCAATGTATAGGTCGGCCACCAGCACAGAATGACGGCCCTTTACTCAAGCTTCTTGAGGCGCAGCCGAACGTAACCACCAGTAAGTTGGCAACCTCTCTGGGCTCCACCTAACTGACAATCGCCATGCTTCTCCGCAGTCTCGGTTATCGGAAAAATTTTTTATGAAGGATGCCTCATGAGTTGAACCCCTCTGACAAGTCATACCGAATGACCGTGACTGAGTTTTTTTCCTTGTACACACTGGAGGAACATTTGTGAGATCTTGTGGTAGAGAGAGGTGGGGTCCTTGCGTACATCTTGCACATGTTCCTCGCAGGATCTCTCAAAGAGAAAAGTAGATTGCACAGCCAAAAGCAGATGTGCATGGGATAAAGATTTCAGTAGGTTATTGGTGGGACTTCAAAGCGGTATCTCTGGATACTAGCATAACGGTAAGGACTACAGTCCACTCTAACCAACCTCACAACATGGATGACGTCACGCTTGAATTCTTCAAAAATACTCAATTTTTCTCTACCGCTCGGCAATGCGAAGACCGCATGTTAGGATCAGGCCACACCAAAAGATCGTGGATCTTGATCTGAGAATGCGACCATACCCAGCTTATTCATCAAAGTTAGCAGTCTCTAACTACTACCTTTTTTGATCCCTACCGCATCCTTAAGAAGGCAAAAATTCCGAAAATCGACGTCTACTCAAAAATGAGGTCCACCTCTTCTTATCATAGTTGCCGTAGTTCTATAAGAATGGAAATGAGAAGCTGTGCAAAAGAAGGGCACTAGTCCTAGTCCTTAGTGGTGATTACCCTTGTAGATTGGAGATGTCTTTTAGTGACTGAAAATTTAGTCCGAAAAATTGGTCAAAGTGTCGCAGGACTTTTCGACCAACCTAATAGTTATCTCAGAAAACGGCACCATTGAACTAATAAATGAACTTAACAAAGTCGTCAAAAATAGTGTGGTCCATTAAAAAGCAGAAAAACGAGTTATACTTTGCAATAAATTTCAACGAGGAAGTTTTCTCATTCCAAAATTGTTCACTTAAAGTTCACCGGAAAGAGCTAGTTTAGACCGCAACTGATAACTCTGTACCACTATCGCGTCAGAAACTTGTAAGGTAAGCTCATTGAGGCACAAAGCCGCCCGAGTGACTTCACCAGGGCGCCAGTGAGTCCACCCACATCGCTGTCTGGTGCTTTGCTCATTTAGGATGTGTTCATACTTGCGTCAACGTACGCCAGCGACTAGGAGAATATAGATCAAAGATAGCGTACAACAGCGTATGACAGCGAACAGCACCGCTTTCAGCTCAAATGACTCGCGAAAATGCTGCTGGACGCTGACGCAAAGTATGAACGCATCTTACTTGGCCCCAACTGCTATTGTGTGGCCTCTCCCCCAACGGATCGTCACCTCTCGCTTGTATCAGCAGGGTCCTATCGGGGGCATTCCGACGTTTCCTTTTGCTTTCCTTCACGGGCAAGTCAACTAGCACACTTCTGTTTCTCAATCCCGGTCATCTAGAAAGGTTTACCAGCTCACCGCAAATTGCGCCTTTGCTGCGAAAAGGCGAACGAAGAACACGAAGTTAACGAAAAATCAATCCAATAGATGAAGAAAGGAACGGTAAAGGAGAGCCCTGTACTAGATAATATTCAGAATGGCACTACAGAAATGGCTGTGACGCAGATTCACCCAGTTACGAAACAACGCCTGGGTAGTTTCAAGAACAGTGCAACAGGGAAGCGGTGATAAGAGCGTTACAGCCCCGAAGTATGATAAGAGAAATTAAATGCTAACAGAAAGTGAAAAAACATTATCACGAGCAGCATTTGGAGCCATTAGCCCCACCCCGCTCCTCCCTCCAGCGACCCCACTCGCGAAATTTGAGCCAGATCTTCACAATTTCTGTCCTTTTGGTGGCTTTAGCAGAAAAGTTGTCTTTAATGGTAACTTGACAATACCACAGTCCTTTGCCTTGAAAGTGCTTCCTGACGCTCGCAGCGCAATGCAAAAATGGGCGTTCTAAACTACGCCCTGCAGAGGCAGCGTATTCTCAGCCGACCTTACTCACTTACCTTTACGTATCTGTCTCTCCTCTGATTACCGCACTGTTATATGACGGAATGGGAAAGGCCTTTTCTGCCCTCAGATACGGGCTGTACTACAGTCTTATTCGCTGCGAATGATGGGGCGTGTTAGCGAGACAGGGTTTGCCGCGCCGCAGCCCACCAATCGTTGCAGCGGGTAAGCGACAATGCTATCATTTAGCGGAGAACGACGGATGCGAGCAAAATGACACAGTCTTATTATTCGTCGAAGGAAAAAGGGTTGGCGCCGCGCCAAACCTGTTCCCTTTGGTACGCTATTCACCCACAGCGTAAAGGACTCCACAGATCGCCGAATTGCTAAAAAATGTCGCTAGAGGGAGCTCGAATACGAATTTCAGCTTACGACACCCACAAATCTGGACGCTAATATTCGTACGCCCAGCGTTCCGGTGCAAAACCTCGGCGAGGTTAGTGCTCCGCGGGTAAAACCAACACTTGGATCAAATCAGGCTCACCCTAGCGAGTAAGATTAAGATTCCGATAAAATTGAGCCTAAGTTTTGCAAAGTAATGGTGTAAAGGATCAATACAAATCGTCTTTCACTAACAGTACCGCATACCACACACCAATGGAGTACTGCTGTAACCTGTTCGTTTTAGGCTCGACTAGGCGCAGCGCTTGGACGGTGGTGTAGTGATGTAAGGTGATCTTGAAAATCCGGTGCGTAGCGACAGAAAGAGCACCTGGAAAAAAAATGTCTGGAGACCTTTCCTGCATTTTGATTCCTTCAAAACAACTGCAACGTCCACGTTCATTGTATGGGCGGAGCCAAGCATACCTATGCGTCTTCATGATTGGTGCGGCCCTCTTTTCTGAAACGGGCGGAATGGGGTGCGAACGAGGAAGGGGTAGTGGTCGGCTGAACTTCACCAATACGACGACCGTGGAGCGCGCCTGCTGGTAAGTACTACGCAAAACGATATACCTGACCTGAATCCGGAGTCGGCAGCATGGGTCCAAGTCGTTTTCGTGCCATGCGGTTGAAATATCCGTGTTCAGTGGGACCAGCTACCCCGGGAACAGATCCGTGGCCAAATCAACTCCTTGATTCGGGACGACAATTTTGACCCAATTTTAAGAACTTTGGAATATATCCGGCAAATATTGCCGAAGGTCAACAACTGGCACTGTTCGGCGACGGGGGTGGGGAGGGGGAAGGGGGAGGGCATTTTGCACTTTCGCTACTTCCCATCGACGTGTCGACCTATCTAGACAGCCTCTTCTCGAGTTGACAGGTTTTACCATGATGGCTTGACGAGCTTGCTGCGTTTCACCATAACGCGCTGACGCAGGATGCTTCCAGTTTCACAAAGGTTCACAGGTTTTTTTACTAGAATGGACTTGTAAACCGGACTGCGTAAGAACGAAAAACTGCAAAATCCCTCCCCCCCCTCTTCTCTCGCCTAACTGTGCCTCAACAATATGCTATCCATAAAGAAGACATTAAAATTTTATTCACATGATCGTTACCGCTCACGTAAAACTCACTACAAAAACGGTAAGGGACGGGACGAGACGAGGAAAAACAAAACAAACGGTTTTTGATATTCAAACCACGCTATAATAATCTCATCGTACGTATTGAAATCACGGGGGTTCTAGTAAGTGAAAGGTGTGAATACTAAGTAGATCACTCATATTGACTTGAAAATGAGGTACTATAGATGCTTTCCAATAATTACACACTATACAAAATATGTTAAGTACACAATAAAACCCCTGACTCTGCGCCTAAATTAATTGCAAGGTGAGTGAGCAATCGATGATCATAGAATCTCTCTAAATCTGCATAAAAATACAATCTTACAATGAATAAATTAAAAAGTATAATCCTTCTTCTTCTTTTTCTCATGCGTATTACAGGCAAACGTATCATGTCCAAACACTGAAAATATATAAATTCAGGTCAAATGTAGTTGGGAGGGGCCAAGCGAGATATAGTGTAGTGTTGCCTGAGTTATCTCTACTTGTTTTTTTTGTATGTTTTCAAAACTGTAGAACGGATAATTCCCCCACTTGATGAGAGGGCGCAGGCAAGAGGTACAAGGTAGCAAGGTCACCCGTCAACTGAAGCCTGTGATGAGGGTCTTGACGTGAAAGGCTAGAGCGCAGAGAAATAGGGGCTGCAACTTTCAGCCTTTTGATCGCGCCAACTTTCTGTTTTTCTCTGCGCTCTCACGCCCACATGAAATTATTCGGCCCCTTGTGACATGTAGACTTCGCTTACATAGAAAGATAGTCATCCACCGGGGTCCTGTTCCCCATTTCCAGGATAGACAGCGTGCACGTTGCCTATGTAGGTGTGACGTACATCATTTGAACCTTGATCATAGCCCTCGCCTCGTCTGACTTTTTTCGGAAATCTCTTGCTAATTTCACCAACAGCAGCTGTAGTAATCACTTACTTTCGCAATAATCACAGTATTCTCGTGACGGTGGTGGCGGCTTCTTCGGCTTTCTTCGTACCATCTCTTCTTCAACTTCTTGTTTAGGACAATCCTAGAATGTGTAGAGAAATGTTGGAAAAGCAATACTCCAGCAACACAGCAGACTCCCCGTGATTCTTTCAACTACTTTGCTATTCATAAACATACCAGTCGGATCGCCCGGCTGACGCCGAGCTCTCCTCCTTCTCTTTAGCTCGGCTTCGCCGAGCTGGCCTGGCTTCGCCAGGCGCGCTCCATAATGGAAATGGATCACTTTCTGATTACTGGGCTGCTCATACGGCGCTGTAATGGTGGAATCGTAATATATAGAGCAGCCCTGCGGATCCTGCACCACTTAGCCTTAGCACACGCTTATATTTGCGGTACGCGTAATAACGCAGTCGATAAAAACATACCAATATGAACCACTCAGTAGAAGAACAAATTTTGTTTCCATTACCTGCACCGAAATGCCTACCGATGAACGCTTCCCCTTTGAATTACCCTGCAACCCGCTACTATAGCCCTTTACTATTCGTTCTCATCAGTAATTGAGAGTTTAAAAGTGAAAAAAGCTATTGAGCGCAAAAAGTGCCACATTATCCAGGTTTCCAGTTCTCCTTGAATTTTTGAATTTTCCTGAGTTTCCTGTTCAGGCGAACTACATACCCCCCTCCTCCCCCTCCGATTGCTATCAGAGAAGTGATGGCTGAAGGAAAAGTCGCTTACTGAGACTTTATTACTTGGCAGTGTAGTGATCATAGATGTCGTGAGAATGTCCCCTTATCTTTTCTTATCAATTGATAAAATTGCTTGTCACCGTCATAAATGTCGCTATCACTAAAACTACATAATTTCGTGGTGTAGAGGCCGCAGCGTTTGACTGAACAGCAACTGCAACGTTCTCTATCAGCTGTTATCACTTCCTGTCAGCCTCCGTCGCCGTCCCCACCTTCTCCTTTAGATCATTTGCTGGAATCAACGCCCAACTTATGCTGTGTCCCGCGTTATGAGTATGCTGACCTTCCCATTTTAACTCCCCTTATCAAATCTTATCAGCGCAGTTCTTGTCACCCACCAATAATATTCCTGTGCCATAGCCTGTATCATACCTTGGAACAAACGCCCCCGTGTTCCCTCCCGGCTCTGCACTTCCCTTGCACATGCTCAGGTCTGGCTGAGCACGTGCGCGGGAAGGGAGCAGAGGGGGGGGGGGCACTCGGCGTCCGTATCACAATCAAAACATTGGATTGATACATCCGCACCAATCGGTTACCGGTTTGCCTAGCGGTCGTTTTCTCCTACCGCGGACTCGAACCCGTGAAGCATTTTGCGGACGGACAAACATACATACTTACATACATACATACAGACCGACAAACCGACACACAAAGTTACTGCTTTATAGAATGGAAGGATTCCAGCGATTTAAATCATTCTATAGAATGAGCAGTCCGTCCTATGTACAGCTGGTCACGTCAGAGTCAGATGGGCGGGGGGGAGGAGGGGTGGTGTCAGAAGGGGCGGAAGGAGCCCGCTTTCAGCTGCCTTGCGCTACCAGGTGAGCGATTAGTGGTCGGTTTAAGAAGGAAACAACGCGATCAGGCTCCTTACATTCCTCTTGAAACCATCCCGACCTACTGCAACGTAACAAACTGTACCTCCGATTCACAGCAGAACGAGAATCTCTTCGAACTAGCAAAAAAGGAACGTTTGAGGCCAAGCAATAAGGGCTCTGTACTCCTACAGGTGACTTTTTGCTCATAGCTCTGGCTACTCTCTCCCTTATTTTGGATCAAAATCGTCTAAAAACCCTAAGGAGAATCAAGTAGAAGATATCTCTCAAAATCCCTTTGTTTGATGGAAAGAAACAGTTGCAAAAAGAACAGAATACCTGCCGCTTGAATGTGTGAGTATATAACATGCACGATGTGGAAATGGCGGCGAATGAAGCGTTGCAAGTTGACATTACGTGCGCGGCATTGCCACCAAGACCTCACGGAATTATCGCTGCAGCATGCCGAGCTGGGTACTGACAATGAGAAGTACTCTCCTAGTTTCTAAGTTTCGCCAAAAAAGTGGACGTAAAGTCCCGCATTCGATGGCGTGAACGACAGGTGAACGAACGTAGCAGTACAGCCGTCCGGACGCCGCGAATGAGAGCTCAGTGTAATGCGCGGTGACTAAACAGTGGCTATCATTTGTAAGTGAGGTCTTCTTTGAAGTGATTTCAGCGTCAGAAGCAATACAGACGCTCAGACCTTTCTTGGATGGGTGGGGTCATTTACTGGCAGTGGGGTTGATGGCTGAGGGGCGGGTGGTTGCTGCCAACGTCATTGGTGGAGGGCTGTAAGAAGGCGTTTAGCCACATCCCATCCAACCCTTCCACTAATGATGCCGTCAGAGGTCATCCGGAATCAAGCCAATTTTTGACCGACTTTTTTCTCCGTGGACAGATTTGGCTCAAATGTTGTCTCCTAGGGTAGTTTGACCTCCTGAATACGAATATCACATTCGCTTGGCCCGAAACTTGTGCCACAGGCGCGGGTGATTTGGGGTATTTTGGCGCCGGCGCCTGTGGCGCGGGCGCCAGGAGGTTTCGTGCCGAGCGGATGTGATATTCATGTTCAGGAGGTCAAACTACCCCAGGAGACAAATTTTTAGCCAATTCCGTTCACGGAGAAAAAGTCGGTCAACAAGTGGCCAGATTTCAGATGATTGGGGTAGTAAAGGGTAAATAGTGCCAAGGATGGTACATCATTTGAATGGCGCTAGTAACATTTTCACAATGAACCCCTCAAATGCCACCAAGCTTATTGGAGCCATTTAACTTTTCAATTAACCAGACAACTGACTGCCATTCTCAAGAGACATCTCAAAAGGCAAAAAATAAATTTCAGAACGGTCCGTTCGCGATGGTTGTTTATACTGCCTCAGCCCTCACCATCATTGAAACTTACAGTCGGTTTCCGTGTTTATCAACGTTTCATCAGATATCACAATAACGTCTCGCTTCACTTTCACGATTCGTAACTGACAGCAGTGGAGCAGTCACTCTGAAAAAGACTACCCATAGGTATGGAACACTACGATAAATATGCAAACATCAATTTGGAATTCTAATCTAGGAACGTACGAATCAGCATAATGCTATGAGCAGGCTTAAATTTCCTCCTGCATCTTCACTTCATTTTCTTCTTTGATCGGCAAATTATTGGAATTTGTGATAATCCAAGCTGAAATTAAAAAACCGAACATAACATACTGGGAGGGAATTCCCAGCAATACAAAGTACATCAGCAATAATATATTGCACTATTTTACATTCACCTGCCCATCATGCCATTATTTTTCTGACGGAAAATTATTTTAACTCCGTGAACAAATTTGAAATGAAATGTTGCCATCAGGGACATTTAACATCTGAAGTACGGAAAATGATTTCGATTAGCTTGAACTCCCTGGCGCGCGCGCCACAGGCGCCGGCTGATCCTGGGGTGATTCTGGCGTCCAGCATTATGTAGCCGGCGGGGCGGGGGCAGAGCGGCAGGAAGTTTCAGCACTAGTCGGATGTGATATTCTTAATTCCAGAGGTTCAGACTATCCCTGAAACAAGTTTTCAGCGAATCCTGTATTCGCAAGAGCTGTAGGAGCGGGCGTCAGTATTTCGTGTACTGGGATGGTTGGTAATTTCATTTTAGTAGGGTAAGTACGGCCAGGGACAATATCTTTCAGCCAATTCTGCCAAGGCAGGAAAAGTCGATCAAAACTGGCACGGACTTTCGGAGAATTTGGGGGCGTAAAGGTAATAGTGCCAATTTTCTTATCAGGAGGGGCGCATTCAGAAGCTTCGGTAAAAAAAGACTTGAAATCTAGTCCCTCAATCATTAGAGCATTTCAACCGCGGTAGGGACAATAAACTCAGACTTCATCACCTTCAACGCCTACCGTATGCGCATATTAGTGCTTGAGAGGGGGAGAGCGGCCCTGGTAGACTGAGGTGAATGTAGTGCGATTGAGTTCGCTGGGTTCTGACTTTTGCCCATATCCGAGAGTCATGTGCTCAGAGCACTTTCCGGACCTAGAACCGGCTGCGCAAACGCATTTCCGCCTGAATTTCCTCGCGAATTGCCTCGCAGAATTCCTATCTTACATCACAAGGAATTTTCAAATAATATCGCTATCGAGAGAATCAGAATTCCTTGCAGCGCGAGTTACTTCATTGCCAGTCTCGTTCAGTTTAGCAGAACTGATTGTGTTGAGAAATGTAGAGCTGAGATATCCTTGCAAGATAGTCAACTTGATCCTTGTAAATAACTGCTCTACGTGAGAAGAACATTTCTCATAACGGCAAAAAGACTATGTTCAATCTCCACGAAATTGATATCAAACGCGAGAGGGATCGTGGAACCTCTTTGGGGAGGTAACGCGCAATTTGGACCCCCGTGGTAATGCCCTGTTCGCCATTGCAGCAACAATTTTAATTACAATTTCAATAGACAGACCTCTCTTTTCAAAGAATTCACTTCATCGACTTTTGAGTGCTGTTTTATCACTCCTCCCAACTCCGATACCTACAAGCGATCATATCAATCTTCTCACAAAGGCGTAACTGCTTCTTCTGCCAATCTTGTTCGAGTTCATTGAAGAGATCGCTAAAATGTAAAATATGATTTTATTCATTCAATTAAAATAGCGCATCCTAAACGTAATAGGTAGGAACCATTCTGAGGAAATGATATGAGAGTTCTACAAGATCATAAAGACTAAGAAGGCGCTGTTAGCCTTTTACGACCCATTTTTACGAAATTTCAGAAAAATTCTCATATGAAATTTGACCCGGGTTTTTCAACAGAGATGTCCTAATGGTACCTTGACCTTGAATTCCTAAACACGAATACCGCAACCGTTTCGCTCGAATATTGTTGGCGCTCGCAGCATAGGCACCGGCGCCAAAGCGCTTCAAATCACTTGTAAGTTGTTCTCAATCAAGTCTGACGCAAGCACTGGCGCATAAGCGGACGCTATTCACTGTTGTCAGTGAAGGTCATGACTGTGTTGGCGTGACACTAGCGTCGGGAACATCAGGGAGAGTCAAACTACCCCTAGAAACAAATTTCATTGCATGTGGTGGATTGAAATGTCCTTCCCGTGGCGCGGATGTCTAACATCTTCGCACCCAAGACCTACGATATTCATGTTTACAAGTAGAACTATGTACTGCCGGGAACCGATTTATAGCCAGATTTCGGAAGATTTCGCTGTAAACCCAGCCCAGATTTCGAAAAGTGAGGCCTAGAGTTGAGAACAAAAAACAGCTGTTAGGGAGAAAAGGCAAGAGGAGGAATAGGAAGAGAAATGCAAAAAAAAGAAAACTCACATCTTTTGCTTTGCTTCAGACACCATTACATTTGCGTTCGCTTCAATCAGCCGAAGAGAAGTAACCTTAACGAAAATTGGAAAGTAGATGTTTGGGCGCTGTTCGGTATGGAAGGGGCATACTGCTCTTTCACTTACACCTACTAGATCCTACTGGATTAAACTATAATATCTCTAAATTCTTGTCAAGTGTAAAGGAAGCTCCTGCTAGCCTATAGCTCTGCGGAAACTTACGGGTATTCACAGGAAGTATCGGCAGTAATCGGAGGGAATAGCAGAATGCCCCTAAGCCAAACTCCGTCCGTTTCTATTACCTGCATGAATTTCAGTGGGACAAGGAGTAATCTTTGGCTAATCTGGGTGAGCTTTGAAACAAAACCAGTGGGAACTGGAAAGGAAAGGAAACAGCTGCTAAGTCGAAGGTCCCAAAAGACCTTCAGCTACTGGCAAGTAATAACTCGCCGAATAACTTAGAAATTTTTGATTTTCGTGAAGTTTCATTTAAATAAAGCATGGAAACAAGGGTCCGTATCACCTGGGACATAGAAAAGGTATCGCTCACCTCTCGTTGCTTTTCAGCCAATTCAGATTTCAGCTGCTGCATGACCTTTTCGATAGAAAGTTTCGTCTCCTCAGCTGATCGAACTTTTTCCAAAGCTTCGGCAAGCTCGCTACTTGACTGAATCGTAGAAAACATCAATCAACATCATGGTAACACATATCGTTTCAGAATGCATGAAATTTGGGCGGAGTTGTCGGGTAACAGTTTTCGTGTAGGGAGAAGAGCCCTGGCAGGAAATGCTCCACAGAAGATCCAAGGCTCTCTGAGAAAGACATTTAGCCTTGTCTTTTCAGGTGGCTTTTCAGATACAAACATATTCAGACATTTTACTCCGCTCTTGCTCTGTTCACATAGTACTTCGTACCACTGGTGAAAAAAAAATTGCAAAGTACGACTACCGGTAGATTGGGAGGGAGGCAGGGGCTTCGTACCAGAGCAGGAAATTTTGAGGGTTCCCTCCTCCTTTGATGGAAACTCCCTGCCTTCCGCCCAACCTACTACTTTTCTGAAATCTCCCAGCCTTCTGAACTTTACTACTTTTCCTACTTTTCACGAGGTTTCTTTCCGAAAATTTTCGTTTCTCTCAAAAAGCGTCGCTTTGCGGGGTGAGTAGGGATTGGGGAGGGGTACATGTAGCGCATATGAAAACGGGAAAAAAAGAGGGAAACCAACAACCAAAAACTATTCCTTCAAGAGTAACACCCCTCCAGCGATCAAATACGACCTTCCACATCCTCTGGGGATTCTAATGTACGACGTGCCCTATCTTTATGAAAAGAATTCTTTAACTTCCTCGAATTCCCTGCATTCATAAATATGGTTACAGTCATTTGTGTCCGCATCTTCTTCGGCAGCGTTCAGACTCGTGATGACGCGCGTCGAAGCGCTACTGTTGCAAGGGTGCTCCAGTACTGAGGACAGAAGCGCAGTCATAGACGAGTACCGATCGGCGCTCAACGCCAGAGTGCATCATGAGATACCTAGAGGTCGTACTTTTTGGCGCGGGGGGTCATATTTGGTCGTTGTTGGGAGCAGGGGGTAGGAGTCGTATGTGGGTTCGAGATAAATTTGCCGCGTTGGGAAAAAATTTTCCCCCTTATTGCCCCTATACCCCTCCCCCCTCCCCGCTCGACAGAAAATCTCTGGGTGAAAAACTGGAAAATGTGGGAAATTGGTAGGTAGGTGCTGGGGAAGGGGGGGGGGTCGTACCGAGACCCTCCCTCGAGAGGGGGAGGGTCGTACTGGCACCACCATTTCACACATCACGATGCTGTACCCTGCCGGACAGGGTGATCACCCGTCATGAAATAGGAAGCTCTGAAGTGCGGTTACAAGACAGTAACGCTGCTATTTCATAACGACTACTACACAGTCTGGCCCACAGCCTCCCATTCTCCTATACTCTCCCAATACACTAGTGGCCTGCGGCGATCGATACCCGTCTATGGTTTGAGAGCAGTCTGCCGCAGTGGAAAGTGATTGCAACGGAAGCGCTACGACGCCCGTCATCGCGAGGTCTAAAGGAAGCTCGCCCTCTGAAACGACACGAAAAGGCAGTAGGAGCTAAGTGCTGGGCGTATTTTATTGGGCCTGCTTTCTCCTGCCCACAAACTTGGGCTTACCTATCCACAACGGATTAGAAAGTTCAGACCTCAAAAGTATTCACCTGCTGTTGTGCTTGAGATGTTGATTCTTGCTGTTGTAATTGTACCCGTACCAATTTCAGCTCGTCTTCATGTTGTTTTTGAGTTGTTTCCTGGATAACAACAAATTGATACTTTGTGAAAACAAAGGAATTTCCCAGCAAAGTAAAGTGAAGAAAGTTCCGTTTAATCAAACAGTTGGCAAAGGACACACCTTATCTCGCTCAAGGCTTGAGACCTTCTCTTTCATCTCTGCTCCATCATGCAACGTCTTCTGCAGCTGTTCTTCTAATGCTTGCTTCTGAAATGAATTTACAGCCTTATTAGATCTATCGTAGCTTCAAGGCCAAATATATCGTTTGTCCTGTATTCCACGGCATTCAGCCTTACTGGTATAGCAGCTGCACGACCACCTAGTTGCACTTAGGACAAGGACTATCTTTTGGGCCTATTCTGCCTTAGACAAGACTAACGACCTTGAATCGTGGCGCGCGCTGAATAGTCGACATTTGCGATGAAAAGACGGTAAGACAATCGTAATTTGCCTCGCAATAGTCGTGCGCGCGAATGCCGCCCAGAGATATACTTGATTTCACTAGGCTTTCGTTAGAGATGTCGGGATGAAAGACACACTCTTAAAGGATATTTTATAGCTATATTTGGTGATCGTTGCTATGTCGCCAAACATGACCTACAAAAACCTCATATTGCTGGCGCACACGTCGCACGCCGCCCCCATTAACATGTCTTGTCCACATACCTCTTTCGAAAGCATGGATAGCGCTGCGTGCAGATATTGTACCAGGCTCAGTAAAGCATGTCAAATAGATTAGACCTCCTGAGTATTTGTTTTGGCCTCGAATATCTTCTCCGTAAACCAAGCTACCCATTTCATCGCTATTCCGTCTTCTCAAGCTTCAGTCGCAAGCAAACTAGAAACGAACACGATCAAAGCTACAGTTCACGACCACTTCTAAATTTCAATGTTGCCATGATGAGCGTTTGGCCGACAACCCAGCCTCTTTTTGGCAGCAACTCTTACGGTCTCGCGCTTGTTTATTCCTGTTCGTATTGTGAGGAGTTTCAACAGCTGAAAAAGCACATATATATCAAAACCACTAAACCACAACTGTAATCAATACTGTTTAAATCAAACTCTCCAGCGACAGCTCACAACTTAAAATACCTTTTCTCAGAAACATCATCCGACTGGAATCCCACAATAAGGGCGTTGTCATTGAGAGAAGGTCGTAACTGACAGGGAAGATGAATTTTTACCTGATTGTTGAGTTTTCTGATAGCTGACCAGAGGTGATTCCCCACCTCTTTCAAGGAACATTGCAAAATTACGAGGTTCTGTACCGCGTTTCAGTTTTTTTCCGTGAATTTCCTACGAATATCATAGCTGGCTATTCTCACTCGTCAGGATCTCTCACATCAACCTCCGCACCGCAACCCAATTCATTATTAATACATGTTAGAGAAAATAAAAAAGGCGAGGACATAGAGCAATTAAACTGACCCATCCATAATGGCGCTCAGATATTGTTAGAGATTAAACGGTCGCCAGTTTTTATCCGCTAAACCTCTTATTACAACCCAGTAAACAGTCATAACAGTTTATCTCCTTCTATTATCTGAAACACAGCTATGTCAAAGGCGGGTCCCGCGCCCACTCGATGTGCGGACGTCGTTTTTGGATAAGATTGTCTTGACAAAGACGCTTTCCGCTCATGAAGAAGGCAATAACCCGCACACCGCCCATTTTTTTGTTCATTTCTGAAGACTTCCCGAGGATGCGCTTGTTCCGCTACTGGCTCTTTCCATTACGAATGCTTAGAGTGATGCAATAAGGGAACGGCCGATATCGTTACGATACCAACAGGTAAGAACTAGCCCAATTGAAAAGGAAGAAAAAAGAAACTCTTTCTTCGCTGTATGCTCGTTGAATCGACGGGGTATCCCACCTGAGGCACGGTTTTTTTTTGCTTTTCTCCTTCACTATGGAATTACTTACCGCCGTGTCATACGTATTTCAGTCCCACTCAGGGCACATCATTAGTTGTGGATTTTGGTCGAGTTCGTACGACCCCCTAGGGGGTAGCTAGCTACGACCCCCTAGTTCCCTCCGCCGATACGATCGATAGAGGGAGGGAGGGCACATGTAAGACGGAAAAAAACTACGAAAAGTCAAGAACCGGGAAAAAATTTTCCCAACGCTGCAAGTTTCTCTCAGAAGGCAGATACGAAACCCTCCACCAGCGACCACCCCCCCCCCCGTTGGGAAATCCCAACGATGTGCTCTGGCCCCAATATCCATCAATTGTGATCCAAGGACGTGCCTCTGAACCGTTCGAGAAAATGAAATGAATTTACCAAATCTTCTTTTTCTGCTATCACACGATCGAGCTTTTCTTTCAGTTCCGCGTCTTCCTTTCGCAGTTGTTCGAGTTCAGAACTTAAACGCTCGGCCCTAAAATAAGTAACTACTCTTGGCCATAATGTTATCGAAATTCCAGATCGATTCATGCAATCCTCAGCACTATTTATTAGTCAGCACAACTCTTCAAAAATCACGCCGAACTTTTAACGAATTTTTACCATATTTACACCGGAGTTAAATCATGAAGGGACACAGCCATTATAGAGTTACCGGGCGGCGATCTGACTGCTAACTCTACAATGGTAATTGCGAAAGTCAACAGAGGGCAAGGCGACCGTCCCACAACCTCTAACGTCTTATTATGCCTACAATAAACGGTGGGAGAGTTTCTGCACTGTTGGTAGCCTCCTTGTAATCCTGACGTCTTACTGTACCTTTACATTAATTTTTACAGTCGGACAAAAGTATTTCCTGCACTTTGCTATAGCCCCGGGCCTGTAGCCAATGACTAAAGCTCCTTGTCCCCGAAATGAGAAAAATCTCAAAAAGAGCATGAACCTAGAATTATCTGCACCTGCCTTCGGGTTTTTGGAAAAAAGGCTTGTACGCCACACGCAATCTTCTTCCGATTAAAATTTTAAAGGCTCATTGAATGCGATGTGGCCCATACAATGTCATGTGGGAACAGCCGATGTACAAGAACGTGTTCATATTCTCCCAGTTGGATCCGGTAGCAATTTACCATATCCGTGGGATAGAAGGCGTGGTTGCCACGGGAGGGAGGGGTGAGGCTGGGATTTGACCACTGGTCCGCGCCAGTGGTAAGCGTGCCACTTGTCACTTTTCTACACTACCTACGCTACACACTAAAAATGTACACGTTGAGAAAAAAACGGAATGAAATATTGCAAACCGACTCATCGGCGCGGGCTTTTGTCTCTAGAAGTTGCGTGTTTACTCGAAGCAATTCCTCAGCATTCAGTTTCAGTTCATTTGACAGCTGAAATCGATATGGATTTCAGATAAAGAACAAAAAAGAAACCTCAGAAATAAGGAAAATATCAGAATTCAATACACTTAAAGGCAGCGCCCGCGTTCAAATGGAGGAGTTATGGAGGCCCAGACAGTGACAGCGAGCCAGCAATTAATCCAGTAGTGTGGAAAAATCATTAAAAAAAATCATGGGATGTGCTCTATATATGACCCAAAGCCGGGCTGAGGTTGTAGGTGCTTAAGGCGAAGAGAAGGAGCGCTTGCACGAGTTCTCACTTGTTGGTATCAGCTGTTTTCCCTTATCACCTCACTCTCACCATTCGAAGTGGAGAGAGTTAGTAGCGGAACAACCGCACCATCAGGCAACCATTAGAAATGAAGTTGGGCGTAGTGGTCGCCAGGTGGGCGGGGTGGCCGACTCTTCACGAGCGGGCGCCGCTACATTTTTGAGTTGCGAAACTAGTACGTCCACCATCCCCATAGAGTGAGCTACGATATATAAAGAGGGCGTGAAAACAACAACGTGGGCGCTGCCTTTAGGTTATGCAATAGAATATCAGACTATGTACCTTGTTATTCCTCTCATTAGCCGCCGCCAACAGTTCACCATGCAACTTTGACGTTTGCGCTTGGTAAGTCACCAAATTTCTTCTTCATTTCCACGTCCCTGAACATTTCGGTGAAATATCCATCCAACCATAAATATACAAACAGGTACATAAATAAATAAAAAATAATACATGAACAAAGCGATATTACTTAAGCAAATAAACAAATCAGCAAACGTTTTAAAACGATCTGCAACAATGTAAGCACCATAAAAACAGTGAGTTACCTCTACAAAAACATAGCCGATTTTCCGAAAAGGGATTAAATCAAAAAAGAGGAAGATAATCAGCAGTCTCACATTGCCTGCTGGGACTCAACCAGCTTCTGCTCCAGTTCTTCAATCTTCGATGCCATTGTTGCCATCTGTTCCTCTGCGGCCTCTTTTTCAGCAATAACAACGTCTTTCTAAAAAGTAAAATTAAAGCCTCAGAAATGACAAAGGAAAAACAGCGAAAAATGACCAGCCCAACGTTGACAATCACTTTGTTACACAAGCGCATAAACAGCGTCCAACCTCTTATTCCCCGGATACATATGAAATGGTACTAGCTGGGAGAAGAAACGGGTCTGATCTACCTGAAGAGGAAATCCGATCTCCTATAGCGGGCCAAAAATGCCCCAAAGACACTTTCCGCGATAACAGCATTGGCAGAGACTCACATTTGCTATACCCCCTTCCCCTCCTTCCCCCTCCCCCCGGAGAATTTTTGAGGAAAAGTAGCATGTCTTCGGGAAATTTCGGAGAAAACTGGTAGGAAGCTGAAAGCATGTAGGAAAGTGAGAGGTCGGTTCAAGGAAGGGTAGGGGGTTGTACCGAGACCCTGTTTCAGGAGGAGAGGGTGGGAGGACTAACAGTACCCGCACCAAGATGCACGCTGAGCCTAACAGCAAGTGACATCACCCCCCTCATGTGATACCAAATTTAAACGGCGAAATTCACTAATGTCGAGGTTTCATGAAGACAGAAGCTGTTGTTTGTAAGGGCATATTGCCATAACAAAGGGACTGTACCTGCTGAACTAGGGATGGACTCTATGGAGAGCAGTAGAAATGATGGAGATGAAGCCAGGATACAGAACTGTACGGAGGAGTCCACTGGCTCGGTTAGTAGGAAACACCAATTGAAAGCAATTTTTTGAATTGCGAAAGAGTTCCTTCCACCTGTTTATTTTCCGTTTCACGCGGTCTACATTCTCCCGTGGAAAAAGGTTTTTGAATAAAGTGGTGGAACACCGGAAATTTGGTAAGGAGGCAGAAAGAATATAGAATAATAGTCCGATAAGTGGTAGGTTGGTAGGTTGTGAGAGGAGTGGTCACACTGTGAGAGATGGTCGTACGATCACTACCACTTCATTCATCTCGTTACTGTACCCTGAACCCAACGAGGGGTGAAGTAAGAGAGAGAATCATACTTATATATAATTCGGAATTTGTAGGTGGTGGTGTGTGTTTGTCTGTGTTGTTGTGTTGAATTCTTCTGTGTGTGTTTGACCGGAAATTCATAACTTCCTTTGTGTCAAAACAGCGATAATGCCGCTCAAACTGCATTAATTAGTAGCCTGAGTCGGGCAGGAACATTATTGGTGGCAGGAAGCGATAGCAGTTGATAAGATACCATAAGGGGCCGTATAAAGGCGAAGTCAGCAAATTCATAACGCGCGTCACAGCAAGACTAGAGCGTTGGTTCCAAGAAGTAAGATAGGAGCAGATGCGCAAATTATTGGTGGTACAGAAGTGATAACAGTCTGATAAAAATATAGGACCTCAAAAAGAGGAGTTACCTAATTCATAACCGGCCACACAGCGATGGATTTGTTTCAAGAATTAAATGGGCAGATGAGAACATTATTGGTGGTTACAAAAGTATAACAGCATAATATTACCACAAGAGCCTTAAAAAGAGTGATCGTACCTTTATTCATAACACCGCGCCACATCGACACGGATGGGGTTCACGAATTAGATAAGTGAGCAGATGGAACATTATTGGTGGGTGGCAGGACGTGATAACAGCTGATAAGCTGATAAGCTGTTATCACGTCCTGCCACCCACCAACTGATAAACTTCAGCACCGGGGCCCAAGGAACAATGGTTAGAGGCTTCGTGAGTCAAGTATTCTATCCCTTAGCGATATGGTTACGACCGCTAAGCTCTCGAGTTTCGACGAAAATTAAAAGCCCTGGAAGCTGCTCAACGGAAGTATTAGGATGGTTTTATATTGAGATATAAAACCGATAACGATTTTACTTCATAAGAGTCTTTCAGACGCCCTAAGAGAAAGATATCTAAAAAATAAAAAAAAAAAAATAAAAAAATTAATGCGTACTATTTCCAACGGTATGTGAGTTTTTCTAAAAATGTGATAACACCAGACATTAGCAAAGTTTCATTATATAGTAAAATCATATAATGAGATAGCGTCATCTGAAAAATATTGTTAATTTAGGTGCGAAGCGTTCGGGTCTAATACAGATGCTGTCAGCGCTAGTACACCATGTGCTCTCTGATGTATCCGCGCAGTAGTGCTCGCGTCAGCCAGCTTTCATTTATAATTCGGAATTTGAAGGTGAAAGAAACTAAAAGGGGAAAATGGAAGGGCTATTTTGTTTCTGGTATTACTTCTTTTTTGCAGTCCTTGAAAAAAACCTCACCTCTTGACGGATATTCTCGATTTCAACATCCTTTGCAGAAATTTCTGCGTTCAACTTTGCTACCAGTTCGCTGGAGTCTTCGGTCTTAGAGTTAAGCCTGTAATACTCGATTGATATTGTTACAACAAATGAAAAACAAGCGAACATGAAAAATGGTAAAAGAAACAACAAAAAATTAAGAAAAGAAAAACTAGTATATATCCTCACAATAACAAACAAAAAAATAGAAAAAAAAATCACAATTCGATATCCCGTTGCAGTGATGTGATCTCTTCTGATTTCAAGGCTACAACTTTATCCAATTCGGTACGCATTTCTGCCGCTTGAGCACGCGTCTGCTCCAACTAAAAAGTATAAACTGTTGCGAGTTCAACATTACTGCGAAGTGAGTGCTAGTAGTCGGAGTAGGGGGGGAGAGGGGAGGAGAGAGAACTAGCGAGGACAGGTACTACGTCCACATTTGCCCTTGCTAGGTGTGCGGGGGAACACTATCTAGCTGAGAAGACGCAGAAGTATGGAAAACAGCGCAGCCTACTCTCATCGCTGGCTCCGTCCCCTCCACGCCACCTTAGTGGCAAATACATTCGCCGGAAGTACGGCTTAATGGGGAACCATAAAGACAAACACTGCAAACAGCACATTAAAAATGATATAATTGAATACTGCGGCCCTTTTCAATCCTTTCAAAATAGAAAATAAGGAGACGGAGAAAAGAGTCTTCTACTCCCCAAACGCTCGTGTCGAGAAAACTCGTTCAAAAGATTCCCCTCCCCCCACAAAAAACAGAACAAGAAATACTTCACCTCTTTCACAGCGTTCTCATTTTGCTTGATCAAGTTGTTGAAGCGCTCCTCGGTGTCATTCAGTTTACCCGCCAACTCGGTATTTGCGAGTTCCATGGATTGAACTTTGTCCTCAAGACTAAAACAAAATATACAGATAATCAAAAATTCCTCGTTTGTGTTATTAACCATTTCACACAGAGTTCCTCCTCCCACCAAAACCGGCATGAAGAACTAAGGGAGATTTTTCGAAACTCCCTCTGTACCTTTGAGCTTACGCCCGACGCAAGCCGAGCCACCTCGCCGCAAGGAGGTGGGCGAGTTTTTCAGATATGACCCCCTCCCTTGCCGA